TGAGCGCCGAAAAGTTGATGCTTTTGAACTGTGGTGTTGGAGAAGACTCCTGAGGGTCCCTTGGACTGCAAGGAGATCCAACCAGTCCATCCTAAAGGAGATCAGTCCTCGGCCACCTCATGCGAAGAGTTGACTCATTGGAAAGACTCTGATTCTGGGAGGGATTGGGGGCAGGAGGAGAAGGGGACGACAGAGGATGAGTTGGCTGGATGGCATCACCAACTCGATGCACATGAGTTTGAGTAAACTCCGGGAGTTGGTGATGGGACAGGGAGGCCTGGCGTGCTGCAATTCATGGGGTCGCAAAGAGTTGGACACGACTGAGCAACTGAACTGAACTGAACTGAACTGATCCTTGATGATCTGGCTGGATCCATGTAATCTCAAAGGGCTTTATGATTGGAATAGGGAGAAGCAGAGGGAAGGCATCCTGTGAAAGACCTACTGGCCGTGGCTGGCTTTCAAGATGCTGGAAGCCACCACAGATGCCAGCAGTCTCAAAGCTGGAAAACAAGAGAGAACGGCTTCTCCCTAGGGCCTCCAGAGAATACAGTCTATGGACGCCTTGGTTTTAGTTCAGTAAAATCAATCTGGGCTTCCAGTCTCCGGTGCTGAAAGATGACACATGTTGTTTAACATCACCTGCTTTGTGGCAGTTGGTCACAACAACATAAGGAAACTAGTATAGTCTGAAGCAAGTCTCTTGGAGGTGGAGGAGGAGGCAGGAGGTGGAGTGGATGGAGCTGGTATTTGTGCTATAACTCAGGAGGCCACAACCAGCCAGCAGGACCCCATGAGATTCATCAGATCACCTCCATTTTAAAGATTAGGAAACTGAGGCAGGCCCAGGGAGAGAAGGAATGACTTATCCAAGGTTTCTCGGCAGTTTCTCTGGGAACTGGTAGTGACTGAGATGGCCCAGTGCCACTTCTTTTTTGTTGTTGTTATTTTATTTGTGACCATGCTGGTCTTTGTTGCTCCACGGGCTTTTTCTCTAGTTGTGGTGCACAGGCTTCTCACTTTGGTGGATTCTCTTTTTGCAGTTCACAGTCTCAGTAGTTGTGGAGCAGGGGCTTAGTTGTTCTGTGGCGTGTGGGATCTTCCCAGACCAGGGATCGAACCCGTGTCTCCTGCGTTGGCAGGCAGATTCTTTACCACTAAGCCACGAGGGAAACCCCCCAACGCCACTTCTTAAAGAGCCCTACAGGATGCAGCAGGCAAAAGGGAACAAAAAGAAGCCCATGTCTGCGTCCTGCAGATTCTTCTCCTTCTTGTGGACCAACTCTGGTAAGAACGACCAACAAAACGTATTCATTTCCTCCGCCGAGGCCAACAAGAGCTGTTTGAGAAGTGGGGAATCTACCGTGGGAAGATCTATTCAGGGAAGTCAGCGACTCCGGGTCAGTATTGCTCAGATAGGAGGAGACTGGGGAGAAATGACCACATGGGGGCTTCACCTTGGGGAACGCTGAGTGCCCAGCCCCTCAGTTCATCATCCAACTCCTCCACATTCTGAAAATGCTGGGGCACTTATGCTGTGCGCCATACCTGCTTGTTCCTTGATAGTGAAGCGTGCTCATGCCGTCCAGGTTTGTCCTGAGCCCTTGAACAAATGTATTCAAGAGATCCCTGCAGGGTGATGAGAAAGGCCATTTCTTATTCCACTGCTAGGAGCGTGTACTGACGTTAAAGCAGTTTGGCAGTGTGCATCAAGGGTTTGCTTTAAGCTCACATCCATTATTTACAAGAAAGAACAGAACATTGAAACATGCCTAAATTGATGACTTGAGGTTCCTGGTAAAACAGTTATGGTTCACTGCATGTGGCAGAAGATTCTCACATGATAGAAAGCGATGGTGACAGAGACTTAAAGGACATGAAGAAAGATACAAATAAAAAAAAATGAGCTTGTGAAATTGTATCTAGTGTGATGTCAGCTGTGGAGAAATGTAGGAAAATAAGTTAAACCATCAATCCAGGACTTCTGGATCATAGGTGCTTTTATTTCCTATGCTTTTATATTTTACTATCTGAATATGTTACATTGGATTTACAATAAAGAGAAAAGAGCTTCATATCCTTTAACCCTGTAAGTTTATTTCTGGAATCTTTCAAAGAAAATGATTGTAAATAACGGTTTACAAGCTGTATGCACAGAGATGTTCCCATCATCATAGTTTTTTAAATGGAGATATAATTCACGTATACCACAGAAGTCTCCCTTTAAAACATACCATTCACTAGTTCTTAGTGTAATTACCCCCTAAAGGAAGGCTAACCTCTTAGCAATCACTCCCCATTCCCACTTTATCTCTAACCCCTGAAATCACTGATCTACCCTCTGTCTCTGTGAATTTGCATGTTCTGGACATTTCTCATAGATGAATGCAAACAGCATGTAGCCTCTGTGTCTGGCTTCTGTCACCCAGCACAGTAACTTCAAAGTTCATCCATATTGTAATGTTTGCCAGTACTTCATTCTTTTTTTATGAGTGAATCACATTCCATCCATAGACCACATTTTATTTGTCCATTTATCAGTTGATAGCCCTTAGTTGTTTTCACCTTTTGGCTATGGCGAATAATGCTGCTGTGGACATTCTTTTGGGTGGATATATATTTTTGTTTCTCTTAGGTATACACATAGGTATAGGATTTTTGGCCTACATGGAAACTATTTGACTATTTGAGAAATTGTTGTACTTGAGAAATTGTTGAAGTGTTGAACTCATGAATATTTACACTAGTGGAAATTAGGAAATAATATATCTATTAGGAAATAATGTATCTATTGATTGTAGGAGAGTGCTTGTGTTGTGTGCTTAGTCGCTCAGTCATGTCTGACTCTTTGCAACCCCATGGACTGTAGCCTGCCAGGCTCCTCTGTCCATGGGATTTTCCAGGCAAGAATACTGGAATGGGTTGCCATGTCCTCCTCCAGGGGATCTTCCCGATCCAGGGATCTAACCCATGTCCCTTGTGTCTCCTGCACTGACAGGTGGATTCTTTACTGTAAAATATATTAATCCTCCTTCCCTTAATGAACAAAATGTTTGTAAAAATGCAACATACTTATTCTTGTGTCAGGTGTTGGGGGTCAAAGGCAGTTGAGACAGGGTCATTGTTCTCTGAATCTGCTGTTTGGATTTATCCATCTATTTATCAGGATGACACATCCTCCAGGGGCTTCCCTGATGGCTCAGCAGGCGAAAAATCCGCCTGCAGTGCTGGAGACACAGGAGACACGGATTTGATCCCGGGGTCGGGAAGATCCCTGGATGGAGGAGAAAATGGCAACCCACTCCAGTATTCTGGCCTGGAGAATTCCATGGACAGAGGAGCCTGGTGGACTACAGTCCATGGGGGTCACAAAGAGTCGGATACAACTTAGTGACTCCACAACAACACCACAAAATAAGTGAGCTGGGTTCAGCAGCACTGGAAGAGCAGGCTTCCCACCTATATTTGTTGACTAAATGAGGTCATATATATAAAAGATGCTTTGAATGCTCCTGTGCTTGGTCATTTTCTCTAGGCTTATGCGTGAATCTAGAATAGCAGAGATGTGCTCAGAACTCAGTTTATCTTCTGGTGGCACTTTGTTGCGGTTTGGTCCCATTCAGGACTTGAGTCATGCACAACACCCAGCCGTTACTTGTTTGATTTGGAACCATGCCACCACTATCCCATTCCCTACCTGTAAGGGAACTGTGCTGTGGACCTTGGTGTTTGGGGCCGGGACAGAGGGTATGCAGTAGGCTCATCTTGTGATGTTGTAGGGTTTTGAGCGCATCGTATGTAAGAGGATTTCCAAGGGTATGTTTTACTTCTATATGTATATTTCTGTTTTGATATTGACTCCTAACTTCTTAAAACCATATGTTTAAAATGAAGATGAGACCAATCAGTGTTGTTCTGACGGTGTTGATCAGTTTGTAAAAGCTGCTGAGAGAGACAGAACTTTGCTGTCAAACCAGTTTGGGGAAATAACATATTCAAAATTAATACTGGTCTTGTGGGGTTTGGCAGTGGTTGTGGTGTCTCACTTTTCTGGGGCGAGAGACTGAAACAGAGATGTGGGAAGATTGAGTTAGTGAAATTTAGGTTATCAGATTCTCATGCATACCAGTCACTGTGCATTTTTAGAGACGACTGAATAGATAGCTGCCCTGACTCAGGGCAATTTTAGGGGTGGCCTGTTTTATACCACAGCTGTCCTGTCAATCTCTGTGATCATGGGGTATAGGGGAGGGGGAGGTTCTACTTATCTGGAAAACCTTTCCTTTATCTCTCTGTGTCAAGCCAAGCTTTCCTGGATCAGATTGACTTCAAGGAGAAACGTCTGTAGACAATATGCTTTTGTTGTTTTTCTCCAGAAAACAAAGAGGATCCTTTGCAATTTCTGACTCCTACTGAGTAAAGAATCCAGGCAGTATTTAGTAGGCATCTCCTTGTATCGTTACCATGCTTGTTTGGCTTTTTGCCTTTGGTGGGTGGTAAACATTTAACTCCTTCGCTTATGCCCAGTGAGGGTGGGGGTGTAGATGAAACTTACAAATACATTTTAAATACATTGACACTGTAATGTACAGAAACCAAAAGCTGAGACCGGGGAACATTTGTCAGAGAATGAGAACAAAACATAGGTGCTCCCGTGTTGTGGCAGAGCCACATTCCATTGTCATCAACTCATTAAGCATACAGCTTCAAAGATGCTGGTTTTACCTGTTTTGTAACTGTCAATATCTGTTTTCACTGGTATTTAAAGTTGCGTTGTGGGATAGTCATGCTTTTAACCATGAGTATACTGACACTGTTACTGATGATTATTTAGGCAAAGTCAGTAAGTTACTTTTCCAACCAAATAGTTGAAAGGAAAGCAGTCAATTTGTTAAGATGATACAGAATTTTGTATTAAAACCAAATTCTAGAGTCGGCTCAGTAAACTTAGGTGAAATTGACCTCACTTTCACATTTGCTTTCATAATTTTATTTTGCAGGATAACAAAGCCATTGACCTTTGCTGACTGTGTTGGGGATGAACTTCCTTTAGGATGGGAAACTGTATATGATAAACAAATTGGAATTTATTACATGGACCACATAAATAGTAAGTAGAATGCCACGCTTGAGTTGTTATATATGATTGAGTTTTCATGTTGATATCACAGATGCTAGGAACTGTTTTTGTAGAGTGAAGCAATTGTTACTCTCCAACACAGCATTAAACTGGATTTTATAAATGTCTTCTGAAGTGTTCATTAGCTGAGTTGTTCAAAATTTGAAGTGATTGTACATTGGCTTGTATATTGCCCAGGATTGCATGGAATATGTTGAATGCAGAGTTTGATTACCTAATAGAAGGAATAAATTTTATAAATTTCCCAGGCAGTCTGGTAATAGAAACCTCTAACCAAATGAGGAGAGTATTTCTTACAGAGTGGAATTTACAAGTTCTTGGAACAATAAATGCCCAAATGATTATCTAAACTTCATTTTGTCTTATCCCTTTGATTTTTAACTGTAATGTGCCTAACCTTTTGGAGCTTTGTGAAGGGAGAAAATGATGTAAGGACCTCAGCTAAAATCACAGGTCCTGGACCATGTCAGCCTTCTCTGTAGAATTGTTGGGAGCAGTGGTTCTCATCTGGGGCTGGCGTTACCTCCCAGGGACACTTGGTGGTGTCTGGGGGCATTTTCAGATACTCAGCCTGCAGTGATTTGGCTCTTACCCAATGCCTGAGCAGAGGGCTGAGTGTGGCCCTGGCCTTGCCACCTTCCGCAGTGGTTACCCCACGGGCAGGAGGGCTTCTTAGGTGGATCCACTGCTGACAGGATGGACGTGGTGCTTAGCAAGGCTACACCCAGGGGCCACCCTCCCCTGGCCTGGCTGCCGAGCACCTCAGGGCTGCATGCAGCTGGAGTTTCTGGCTATCTGGGCCACCTTCCCCTCAGGTCAGGGCTTCACTGTCTCTGGGCCTGGGTGGCGTTACTGGACGGCACAGGCATCAGCCTTACGCGACTTTTCTGGAAAGTCTGCTGAGGCCCAGGACCACCTTGTGCTGGCTCGTCTCTCGTAAACCCTGCTTCTCCTCCTGCTGTGTCCCCTTCTTTGCTGTGAGTATGCCTTGCTCGCCTGCTCACTGAGTCACAGCAAGTTTTACAAAGCAGCCCTCCGTGCTGGCCACTCAGGAAAGTGAGACCCAGGATCCACTGTCAAGGATTTGATATGACACACTAGACATGGCCACGAACCTGGAAACCGTGTAATCACCAAGGACTTTCTTCTAACCACCCCCAGCACCATGGAGGATGTGGCTGAAGACGTCAGCTCCATGGTCATGCCACCTCTTCTCTCTGAAACCTTCAGTGAACCCAACTTGTTTTTCTTCCCTGGGGAAAAGAAAGATTTTTTTATTGTGATAATGGGCCAAAGACCCCATTCCAGAAAACTTACTCCTGAGAATCAAGCTCTCTTTTTTTCTTTAGATTTTTTAATTATTATTATTATTATTATTATTTTTTTTTTACTGTGATGGGTCTTCGTTGCGAATGTGAGCTTTCTCTAGTTGCAGTGAGCAGGGGCTACTCTCTAGTCATAGTGCTCAGGCTTCTCATTGCAGTGGCTTCTCTTGTTGTGAAACACAGGCTCTAGGCACACGGGCTTCAGTAGTTGTAGCGTGTGGACTCAGTAGCTGTGACGCACAGGCTTAGTTACTGTGCAGCGTGTAGAATCTGCCCAGACCAGGGATTGAACCCATGTCCGTTGCATTGCAGGGAGAATTCTTAGCCATTGGACCACCGAGGAAGCTCCCTTGGGATCTTAACTCTTGCTAGCACAGATGTAAGGGGAAAGCTCTTTAAAGACAGAGAACCTGAGGAGTCACATGTTAAGTTGGAACTGTGCAGATTGACAGTGCAGTGAGGGACCAGAGGGACCCTGGTCTGGTCACCTTCAGGGTTCCCAAGATCCTCGGGGGCCCTGGACAGTGTGCGAATGATGCCTGTCGACCTTGGTGAGTCCGATGCCTACATCATTGTCAGAGACATCTGTGCACTTAAAACAGCTGTGACCTCCCCCTGTCCCCCACACAGATCCACTGAATCTGAACTCCAGGGCTAGGTCAGGACCCTGATTTTTGTTATTTTTTGTTAATTCTCCATGGGAGCTTTTAAGACCCAGAGAGGCTTTCCAGGAGGGGACCTGGGATAGCAGTGTGAGAGAGGATAGGGGATGTTGCTCCAAGGAGATTTCAAAAGAAACTTACTTTAAACATCCTAGTGAGTGCTCCTGTGTATGTGTGTGTGTGGGGGGTAGAGATGACATAGAATTTACATTTGTAACCATTTTGAGATGGTTACATTTTGAGATGCACAGACCATAAGGTTCACCATTGAAAAGTGTACAGTTCAGTGGCATTGGGTGCATGGAGTATTGTCCAGCTATCACCTCTAATTCCAGGGCATTGATCATGCCCTGGTAAGACCCTGTGCTTTAAAAGAGGCTCACGTGGTTTAGAATCAGAAGCAGAGTTGGGAAGGTGACTGTGGCGAGCACTCAGAGGATGGCTTTTGGTGGGATGAGGCAGGCAGGTGTTTTGGGAGAGAGGGTGTGAGAATCTGATTGAACTAAAGGGAGAAGGAGGGACGTCCTGGCATCAGTCACTATTATACGCAGGGGCAGGAATGGCCAGTTCTGGAGGGCCCATGAAATAGTGTGTGTGAGGGATGAGGGGCAGGCATACTCTGAGGATAAGTTCCCGGTTAGCTCAGTGGGTCGATGAAGATGAAGCCACTCATTCCAAGGGGGCAGACGGAGAAGCAGGCACTTGTCAGTGTGGCTTCCTTTGGATTGCTGTGGTTTGGGTAGCGAAAGGGTGCTGTGTGAGACAGTTGTTTTGGACGAGCGACTCAGAAGTCCTTTGTGTCCGTGCACAAGAGGTGATGCATCTTGGAGGCAGGAGGAAAGAAAAGACGGGCACTCAGGAGAGAGGTTGGAGCCAAAGGTAGGCGTGAGCCCTTTGAGGAGCTGGTTGAATGACAGTCAGAGCGGCAAGTGGGGAATTTATAGGAGGTTCACAAAAGATGCAGAAAGTTCTGGTCTGGCATGGGAGGTAGGAGAAGGGGAGTGAGCCAGTCCCCGGGACAGCAGAGGCAACAGCAGCCCACGCTGAAAAAGGAAGGGAGAGAAAGGTTGTATGTGTCTCTTAGTTTGAGAGTGATGGTCTCCTTTGGGTTCCTGTCCACCAACATTTACTCATAGATAGCTAGTGGGAAGCTGCTGTATGATGCAGGGAGCTCAAACCAGGGCTCTGTGCCAACCTAGAGGACTGGGATGGGGTGGGAGGTGGGAGGGAGGGCTCAAGAGGGAGGGAGACATATGTGCACTCATGACTGATTTACATTGTATGGCAGAAACCAACACAGCATTGTAAAGCAATTATCATCCAATTAAAAATAAATTAAAGGGGCACTCTTTCTGCTCCCTTCTGATACCTGCGTGAGAAGCTTTCTCTATGTCTTTTATACTTTAATAAAACTTTTTAAAAATTAATTTTAAAAAATTGTCTGGTATCGTCTTCCCCTACGCATCTACAGAGCTTTCTTCTCGACCCAGGCATGGCTGTGTTGATAGGAGGTGACCCACATTCTGGGAGGGTTCATCATACAGATGCTTCCATGATGTACATCATGGTCAGTCATTAACTTTTGTATTGATTAGTCATATAACTACACAATTTTTCAGCCTAAAGAAGGGACTTGGAAGACCCTCATATTCTTCCCCTTTCCATTTCAGAGCTGACCCAGATTGAGGATCCCAGAGAGCAGTGGAGGCGGGAGCAGGAACGGATGCTAAAGGAGTATTTAATTGTAGCCCAGGAGGCTCTCAATGCCAAGAAAGAAATCTACCAGATTAAGCAGCAGCGCTTCGAGCTGGCCCAGGAGGAGTACCAGCAGCTGCACAAGATGTGTGAGGACGACAGCCGCTCGTACACCAGCTGTGAGTTGAGCATCCCCCTCCAGGAACACGTGGGGCTTCCAGATCTGGGTCTCTACAGACCCCAGTCTCTGCAGACCCCGGGCGCAAGTCAAGCAAGACAGCTGAGTAAAGTGTCTGATCGCCTACTGTTAGGTAGTCAGCCTCCCATGCTGGCATCCGATGGTCACTCCCTACCACTCCATCAGCAAGTGTTTATCAGGTGCCCCTCAACATGGTGGAGCTGAGATAGGAGAGGCCCCTGCCCTCCTGGAGTTTCCATGTAAGGAGAGAGGGCAGGGAGAAAGCAAGGAAGCACAGTTTCAGGTAGTGACACAGAACCGCCTCCCGACTCAATTTGTCAGTGTGGAAAAGGGTTTACCCGGAGATCCCTGCTTGTCTAGGGTGATCCTGGGGAATTCCTTACAATGGTTTTATTGCTCAGGAGCCTCCACTTATGTCAGGCCCCTGTCTCTTTATAGCATCCTTTCTTGCACAAGACACTGAAGGTGGAGAAACTCAGTATAACGTGGGGAAAGCGGGGAACTCTGCCCAAGTAAGATGGATGCACATTGATGTTCTCCAAAGGGAACCCCTCTGAGTTTCAGAGCCTGCCGAGCATGGGCTTCTGTTATTAGGACTCAGGAGATGCACAGGAACAGGAGGAATCACTCAGAAGCCAAAGCCTCTGGTTCCTGACCCATTCAGTCACTGCCAGTCCATTCTCAACAGAGTTGTCACACTTAACTGTGCACCGAAGGTGTGCGTGGCTGTGACTCGCCCGGTGGCAGTGAGCTTGGGGAGAGTGTATGAAGTTGGTACTGCTAGATTTTATCTTATAAAAACCTAAATCTGATTGAGACTTGGAGGGACTTAGCTGTGACATGAGTGCCATGTTGCCAGGCGTGTAGCTCTGGAGACAGCTTTGAACGTTAAAGACATGCTCAAAGCTTTATTTATCCTGTGTTGCAGGTCAGAATGGAGTTGAGGCGAGGGGGCCAGACATCTTTTTTACTGCAACTGCTGTCGAAGGTGAATAAGCCATACCAGCTGTGGAGAAGAGAGCGGTGAGGGTGGAGTTTGCCCCCTGTAGCAGGAATTAGGTAGCTGTGTTTCTATGTACCATGAAAGCTTGCAGGCTCAGGTATGATGGTGTATAGTTTCCAGGCTGCTTCATCTCTTGCCCTTCGGCTCTTGGTATGTAATAGGTTTTTTCTTGTTTGTTTGTTTGTTTTACTGTCTATCAGAATGCGATGTGTCAGCTCCATGCTAGCTTTTAGGAAAAGCTGGTTTCTTCGTAATTTTCTTGTCATGTCTTTCTTTGATTTTGGTATCGGGATAATAATTGACATCCCAGAATGAACTGGGATATGTTTCCTCTTCCCTAATTTTTGGAAAGTTTGTGTGGGATTGGTATTGATACTTAATTCATTGGCAGGCAAAATCTTTACCACTGAGCCACCTGGGAAGCCCAGTGTTGATACTTTCTTAACCGTTTGATAGCATTCACCAGAAAAGCCATCTGGTTCTTTGTAGGAATGTTTGTAACTATAAATTCAGTACCTTTAATAGACATGGGCCTGTTCAGGTTTTCCTCTTTCTTCTTGAGTCAGTTTTGATGTTTGTGTGCTTCAAGGAATTTGTCTTTTTCATCTAATCCAAAAATCAGTAAGCTTTTCTGTAAAGGATCAGATAGTAAGTATTTTAGGCAACATAGGTCATATGGTCTCAGGTACAACTACTGAACCCTGTTGTTACAGTGCAAAAGCAGCCAGACATGACATGTAAATGACGTGTGTAGTTTGTTCTGATAAAGAGTATAAAAATAAGAAACAAGCTGAATTTGGCCCACAGGGAATCTGCTGACCGCTGATCAAGCTGTCAAGTTTTGAAAGTTTTCATAGAATTCCCATGTGATTCTTTGAATGTCTAGACTCTGAGCTAGTGTCCTCTCTCTTATTTGTGATAATAATAATTTGTGCTTTATTTTCTTAATCAGTGTAGTTCAACCTTTATCGATTATGTGTAGCATTACAGCAAACTGGGTTTTAGTTTTCTGTTTTCTTCCCCTATTTTTATCGTTTTTAAATTTTTTTTTATTGATTTGTTCTCTTTAGTTTTTCCTTCATTCTACTTAGTTTGGCTTTAATTTCTTTTTCTGCCTTCCTAAAGTGGGACCTTAGAGCATTGATTTCAGACCTCTCATTTTCTCACATAGCCTCTGAAGGTATGAATTCTCTAAGTGCTATTTAACTGCATCCTACAAATTTTGGTTCATGTTTTATGAACCAGATATTCATAATATTTTCTCATTTTCTTTGTGATTTCTCTTTTGACCCATGGATTATTTTAAAAGTAAGCTATTGGAACTTTTTAAAGGTGTGATGTTGTTGATTTCTAATTTGATTGTGGTCAAAGACTAGACTATGTAAGATTTCAGTTTTTTGACATCTATTGAGATGACTTTATGGCTCAGCATATGGTTTCTTAAACAATCTCATGGACTTGTGCCTCCAAGTTGCATTTGGCTGAAGTAGTGGCTTGGAACTGTTTCTGAGAGTATAGTTAGTGATTCTAAACCTTTCCAAAAGTTGCTTGGTAGAAGTAGGTTGGGCCATATAAAATTGTCACTTTTGTAGCTTAAAAAGGGCCAGTTATTGGCAGTTTCATATGATTCAACCTAATAGAGTGTTTCTTCCCAGGCAACTGGTCAGGTTTGGTTAGGTCTCCAAAGAGACTTGCCCGTCAGTCTTGCTAAGAATTGAATGGAAAAAGAGTATAACAGAAGAATCTGGTAAGAAGTCTCTTGCCAGCACTTGAAAGGAAAAATTAGATGAAAAGAACGTATGTTGGACTTCCTGGGTGGTACAGTGGATAAGAATCCGCCTGCCAATGCAGGGGACACAAGTTCTATCCCTGGTCCGGGAACATTCCACATGCAGCAGGGCAACTAAGCCCGTGCACCCTACAGCCCGTGTTCCATCACAAGAGAAGCCACCGCAATGAGAAGCCTGCGCACCTCAAGGAAGAGTAGCCCCCGCTCGCTGAAATGACAGAAAGCCGCTATGCAGCACCAAAGGCCAAGCACAACCTAAAATAAAATAAATAAATAATTTAAAGAGAGAGAGGAGGTATGTCTATGTACTGGTTACTGTACTGGTGAAGCCAGGACTTCAGTTGCAGACCATGTGGGGACTCAGGACTGGAACCCTTGATGCAAATATAGGAAGACCTAGTTGCAGCCTATGGGATTCCACACCCAGCTGGAGGGGAAGACTCCCAGAGCATCACAGAGCATAGAGCATAGAAACATCCAGGACTCTGGAGTTGGGACATCCCTCAGCATCAGTTTTTGTATTTCCACAGGCTTTTCGCTCCCCAGACATTTGGGAAAATAGGGAGTTGCAGGTAATTTCATTCTTCCCGTGCCCTGTCAAATTTTATCAATGCCCAGTAAAAAAGTAACAGTCGAGATGCTGTCTTTAAAGTTGTGTATGAAGAAATATTGAGTCAAGGAAGGCGATGACTCCGTGGTGTTGATTTGAGATCCTGAGACTCCACTTCCCAACCCACAAGAGGTGCCCACATAGACTCCATCTCTGCCTCTACTCATTCAGTAGAGGAGGCCAGGTGGGGCCTCCCTATTTTCATGAAGGGCTGGAAATGCCAGTGGCTCTTCCTAGAGCCTGTCTCCTCAGGGAGAAGAACTGTGAATGGAATCTAGGAATTAGTCCAAGCATTTTGTCAAGTAGCTGCTGTTCCTGGGTTTTCACCAAGCTCCTTCAATTTGCCATTTAACCTGAACTCCATTGAGGATACTTCTGTTACATATGACTCAGACAAACTATTTCTGGCCACAGGCTAAAGTTCAAGACAGTCATTCTGGTGGCTTGTGCTATAACAGCCCAGACCTCTGTAAGGTCTGGGCCCATGTCAGGAGCTGCTGGTGGCAGGATCCATGGCACACCTGGGCCCCTGTTGGCCACCCAGCAGGTCTCAGCCCAGATCACGCACATTGTTAATCATCTAAAGCAGGGAGGTGTCTCTTTGCTTGGGTACTGGCAGCAGAAGGACCTTGGGAAATAGCCCCCATAACTTCCTTCATTGGAAGTGACTCAAACTAAAGGAACCATCATGGAATGGCCTAGTGTTTTCCTGAATTGTTGTGACTGCAACATCGTGAAGCATTGTAATATGGTGATGTTACTTTCCTTGTACACACAAGAAACAATATTCAGTAGACTGATACTTCTTAGGTTATACCTCTGATGAATGGTAGACCTTGGATTTGAGCCCAGATCTTTTGGTGGAGCTAGTTACCAGTGCTGTGTATACTATTTTGGAGACATGGAAGAGTCAGCTTGGAAGAATGGATCACGTGATTTTGAAACAGCCTTCCCTCCCATTGTTCAAGTGACCCGGAAATAAGGACCGACTATAAACTGACAAGTTGTCTGGCAATTTCACAGCACCTGAAGGGACATGGGATAGGCAGAACGCTTTTTACTTCTGGATTTCCTCATGGCCCACAGTGGGAAAGCCAGACTAGTTGTTTAGTTTTCAACAGAGAGTTCCTTAGCACCTGGTGTTGGGGGACACAGTTTATCCCCCATGGCTGATTATAGGGGGGAAATGAGGCAATAAAGGTAAACAGCCATTTCTAATATTGGAGCAGAAGGGCATGGGGGAGGGCAAACACTCTCTTCCACAGCCTTCACAGATTTCCCCCTGAGTTATGGAAGTCCACAATAAAACTCTTGTTTGTTGTAGAGGAAAAATTTCACATCAATATTGGGCCGTCTGGTGTCTGAGAATATCCAAGTCTTAACCTTTCTTGTCTCTGACCAAAGCAGAGTCTGCTTTGCTGGCTTTGAGCAGACACATCCCCATGAGACTAGGAGCCCAACTCAGCTATAGTTCTTTATGCTCAGGAACTAGCTGACCGGGGACCTGGTCCTGTTTGATGCTCTGTAGAGCCCTGCCATGAAACTTCTCTACCATAGAGTCAGTTTCTGAGACACACC